GACATCAGGGAACACATATAGTCTGTAGGTTTTGCCTCCATTGCCTGTATATATGCAATGACTAAGTAAGAAAATAGATCTGACTACAAGTTTGACTACAAACTGAGGGTTTTTATAATACAAACTATAGGTTACATTGTTAGAAGGCAGGACATACAGCATGCATTCTCTTACAATAAGTATGGGATAAAATAAAATTGCAGGACCACTGAAGAAGAACTTTGCAACAGTAAACTGTGTACTTTCTAAGAAACTATCAAATAAATAAACGCTCATAAGGAAGGACACACGCAAATACACAGGTAGTTAGTTTTTTTTTTAATTAATTAATTTATTTATACAAGCACTGGGTACAGTGAGAAGCACAGGAGGGTGAGAGAATTCACCAGAGCCAGAGCGGGGAACAGAACTGGCAGACTGACCAAATACACTGCTGAGGGGAGCAGCAGGCGCAGCAGGAGAGGTCTGAGCGCCATGTGGGACCCTCGCCGGCGGCTGGGGATCAAATTGGCACTGCCGAGGCTGCGGGCAGCTTCGCAACCCAGCGCTCAACCGCCATACACAGGTAGTTGTAATAATAGCAGAACAGGCAGACTGATGAAATACACTGCTGAGGGCGACACAGGAGAGGTCTGCAGCTCCATGTGGGACCCTAGCCACGGGCCAGGATTAGAACCGGCGGTGCAGAGGCTGCGGACAGCTTCACAGTGCTGTGCTCAGCCACCTGAACCACCAAGGGAGGCCCTCAACAGAATCTCTTAACAACCAATCTAATGGAGCTACTGATACCACATTTTATACTACTTATCAGAATCTCCTAAAGCAGAGGTCTAAGGTAAGCATTGAGGCCACATAATGTAGGGTGATGGGAAAAAAAGAGTTAAAGAGCATGTTAGGCATTCAAATAATGAAGCTAACAGTGGTAAAATGATGAGGAGAAAGTGGTTCAACAGGCCACCTGAGGGTGCTTTGTCTTTTTCCCATTCACTCCTACTCCCCCTTCATGCATCATTGAACATCTGGTTTAGAGTTTAGTGGGAAAATGAGAAATTTAAACAGTAAGAAATAAGAGTGGGGTAAGTGGGTAAGTACTCTCATCAGGATGAGCATACTGGAAAGTGCCCAGGGAGCAGAAACTGGGAAGTGTCCTTTGGGTTTTCCTTTGGTTGGAGGGATAGATGAGGAACCTTTAAGGCTTCTTTCAAGTGGCTCAGTCTTGTTCAGTAGGATACAGAAACACAAAAGAGAAGTACAAACATAGGAAGCTAAAAAAAAAGTGCTAAGTCGATAACACCATTTTCCTTCATTGAAGGAGTATTAATTTGCATCCTCTGACCATTATTAAATAAGTGCCAAAATACTTCCAGAAATATTAATACATAATACTGTTTTTGAAATGACTAATTTTTATTTTACATGATTTTCTGTGGTTATGAAATATATTCATATGTGTGTGTCCACTAGCAGACATTTTTTGTCACGTTTCTGTGAGCCTAAGAGAACTTCTATACCTTAATATCTTGTTAAACTAACAATAAGTTCACTCAAGCTCAAAAAATATTTCAGTGCTGTGAGCAGTTTTCAGTTATAGAACTGAGTCTGTAGCTACAGCATTCATAGTATTCCTCTTCACCAGGTTATTTACCCTGTTGTTACCAATTTTGATATGTGTTAAAAGTAAATGATTCACCGTCACTGATTTCTACTGTCAGGCCTATGAATCATCTCTCTCTGACTAGAATGGAAACGAGGATGTAAAAGTGAAAATGGTCTGAGAGAATGACAGCCTTTCTTGAAGGGCAAGTGAAGGTTCAGTGACCTCTGGGCACTCTGGTCCATTCTAGTGAATCACTGCTTTGGGGAAGCAAAAGACCCTGTGGCTCATAAAACCTGATGATATTAAAAAGAGGTAGGAATTCACACCTAGGTGTCAGGGTCACTGCTAGAAATACAACTTTAAAAATTCAAGGGTAAGGAAAAATACCATATTTAAAAATGAATTACTAGTGTTTTTTTCTTTTAAAAGTATTGGGAAAATCCATATCATATAGATATTCATTACTTATTCAATGTACACCAGTGAGAGATAAATAGAACTGTTAGAATACAAAAATGCCAAGGGTAATTCAACTACTGCAATGTAAGTGTGGCATAACTGATTCGTCATGACACACAATTTTCTAAAAGCTATTCTGTTAGAAGGCAATAAATGAGTGCATAAATGATTTACACTCTTCTGAACCATGGTTATTATTCAGTATTTTATTTTAAAAATATATACACCCTATACTATTATGTTTATTCTCCAGAGTATAATAAAAACATAATTGAATTTGATGAAAAATAGCCTTGATTCTAAATGTAACATACAGCAAATACAACTACTCGCTTATTTTATCCCTTGTGAAGATCAATGGTCACTTGAGGTGGCTCTGTTCTAGGTTTGTTTTAATATATAGGCAATAAAATATTTTTAATTTAAAAATTATACCCTTACATTCCATATCATATTTTCTTTTTAATACTAACATCTGAGCTCTGACCTAAATAGCAACTTATGAATGCAAAACTCAATATTTTAATCACTGTTTCACTTGTAAATGTGATTTCTTATTGACCAAGTAGAGCAGGAAATGAAGTACAGATGGTTTAGCAAATAAAAATGAAGTAGCTTAGAAAAAAAGCATCAGAATTCAGTGACTTGTTTTGTTCTGATGGAGCCTAAATGGCATTATGAAGGAATAAGGTTACTCTTTTAGAAAATATTTGAGACTTGTTTTAATATAACCATCTCTAAAATTTAAACAATGATTTGCTAATGTATGTAAGGTAATACTATTTTTATTTATAAGCTCCTTTGGACTAGAAACTGTGCTATGCATTATATATACAGTGAATAATTAAAGAAATACTATAATAATTAAAACTTGATATATTTAATATCTATATATTATACAAAAAATACCCTTCCTACAGTAAAGTCACATATATGCTAATGATATAGTATCTTTTAAATACATATTACATATAACATAATAATATTTTATTAGTTTAACAAGACACTAAGGTAGAGAAGTTCTTATAGACACACAATATGACAAGTAACATTTCTATTCTTCCTGTCCAGTTGTATATATATATATATATTCTTTTACAATATAAGGGCAAATACAAATTTAAAAATGATATTTAATTCTCACTGTTGAAAATATGGGAAGAGATTTCTCTCCCTTTTTCTTAATGTATTTACCTTAGTACTTTTTAAACTCTGTGAAATGTGTCCTTTAACAAACTCTTTTGTTTTTTAAATATTTATTTATTTATGTATACAAGAGCTGGGGTACAGGCCAGAGATGCAGCTAGTGAGAGGATTCACCAGAGTGGGGTACAGAACAGGCAGACTGACCAAAATACACTGCTGAGGGGAGCAGCAGGCGAGACAGGAGAGGTCTGCCTTGCCATGTGGATTGCTCCCTGGCTGGCAGGGGATCGAACTCGTGCTGCAGAGGCTGTGGATTGCTTCCTAGTGCACTGTTTAACCCCTTGTGCCACCAGAGAGGCCCACAAACTCTTGATAGTCCTTTTGCCAGCTTTCTCTACCAGGATTGTCTTTCTCAAATACTTGGAAGTCATCTTTCAAAATGTAGATACCAAGGGAGACAGCTCCCCCATCTTGTAGTTACTTTGGGGGGATAGGGGACCTCACTTTGCTGGGGGCCTTACTGAATTTGCAAAATTACCTCATAAAGAGCAGTCCGTTGCTCAAGATAAAGTCAATTGCTAACACAGGTGGTCTTTACCTATTATAAAGTTAAGATGAACTATGGTAACAAAATGTGCTATAGAATCTTCTATTTGAGGAGTACTGATTGTTTATTTTGAAAACAAGTATGAAAAAGGCTGTACCTATGAGGTTATATAACGTAATGAGATTCCTTTCCGCTTTTGCAATCTCTTAGAAGACTGCCTGTGATGCACATTGCATTCTGGTTTAATGCTTGTTGAACAATAAACATATTTTCTTTCTCTCTGCCTTTGTGGAGATAATTTCTGAGATTGAAGATGATTTTGGTTTTAATTATCATCCCACAACACTTATTATCTTTTGGATTTAAGTTATTTGTATTTATTGTTATGAAGATGAAAAATTGTTTTCTCATTAAAACATAAGGGAAAAAAATCACAGGAACATGTCACTAGTTCAATTCAGTTTTCTTAAATTAAGTATCAGTATAACTGAAATTTAAACAAAGGAAATATTGTCATGTTTCATTCTACAATAGAAATCTTTACTGTAGTTTGAACATTTGTAACCTATATCAGATTAGTACATTTGACCAAAAGAGTTCTAGTAAGAGAACTGACTCCAGGTCTCACAAATACAAATGAAGACAAAAATCTTTTCAATCAAAGAACAAGAATTAGTGGGAAACTATTTAGCTGTCCCTGCTTCCCTCAATGTTTATTAACACTAACATTTTGTGGATAATAGAAGACTAATCTGGTGCAGAAAAAAAAATGGAATCCCTAGCCTCACAAGAAAGTGAGAAGAAGGCTTAAAATGACAAATATTACATGAAATAATTTATATTTAATATTCTGTTTTCAGCAACTCAAGCAATCTATTGACTTATACTTTCATTTTAATATCTTAATTTCAAATTTTTAATTTCTGGCTTATCCATCAAATAAGAATGTTTAACTCTAAAGTCATTAATGAAAAACCAGGATACCAATACTGGCAAATTGCAAGAAGTCATTTCAAAGAATTTGATAAACTTTAAATTTATGTATATGAAGACAGTGTCTTAATTTTCTAGTCTCATCAGATAAGGTCAATCATTAAATTCTAAGGGGAAGGGTATAATCCATTTTTTTTAGGACAGTTAATAATTAAAACCTAAAATTATCTAGGAGTAGGAAACACTAAAATGAGAGGAAGTAAATTCTTTGTAAATGAACATGAAACCAACTTGTTTAAAATAATTAGCAATATTTACCTCGCAGCATTTTGTTCTATCTTTTCATCAAGGTCACTGAAGATCTGCTTAAACTCCAAGTCTCCAGGAAATGAATTTAACAAACAGTGTAGGTCAAAAGAATTATGGGAATATTCTTCTCCCCAATCCATTCTGAAGAATAAGGATAAAAAGTATGTCAGTACTACCAAAATAAAAGGAAGAAAACTACCTCAAGTTGTAAGAGTAAATCAAAAATAATAATTCCCATTTATAAACAAAATGAAATATAGCACTAGGAGAACTAGGACATTAAGAAAGGTAGAGTATTTTGTTATTTAAATTCCATGAGGTGTGACCTAATTTCCACAGTTCTCTATGCTTTGAAAGCTGAACAAAACAGCACCCCTCAGAGAGTACTTCAGCATCCTGCTGCTTCTCACAGTAACCAAGAGCTACAGAGGAAATCACAATGCCTGGTAGACCACTGTGAACAAGGGTGCTTGGCACAAGAATTAAATACCTTTCTTCTACTCCTGTCAATGTACTGACCTAGAAATTGGAGCCTCATAATTTTTGGTCTCATTCTGTAATCCTATATTTATGTGAAGACAATAAAGTTTCCTTTCCATTCTTCTAACATCCCTGACAACCTAACCATTGATAACTAAAATGTACATATGTATTCTTCCTGTAGATATATGTATTTCCTATCAGAGCTTCAAACATTCATTCATTCATTCTACATACATTTACTAAGTGTTTGATAGATAATAGGCACTGCTGCAGAAACTGGAGGGTAGCTGTAACAAGTCAAAGTTGCTGCCATCTTGGAGTTTTTATTCTGAGAGGGGAGGGTAGATTTTAAAAACACATAGATGGATATATTTTATAAAATATCAAGTGGTGAGAACAAATAAAACAAGACAATGGTATAGACTAAGAATGATGGAGTTGGGGCAGAATGTGAAATATTTTATTTAGATATCAGGGAAGGCCTCTCTGAGGAGGTGTATCAGAGCAGCAGAAAAAAGTAAGGAAGTAAGCAATGAGAGAAGACACAGGTAGGAAAGACAGATTAACTTATTGGTACAAGACACAGGCAGAAAAGACAAACTAACTTATTGGTACAAGAAGTGACTCTTATCAGATCTACTCATATTTCACTGGTGACAGTCGTGTTACAGGGCAGGGAGAGGGGCACCCCAGACCCCGCAAACCTGCTTGCTCTAAATAGGTTCTGCCATCCGCCGCATTAACACAAAACATGAGATTTTAATGGGGAGGAACTTTAATACAATTAGGAAACAATACAGGAAAGGCAAAGAATCTACTTTCTAAATCAAGCACCCAAAGTTACCCGTCCCCTCGTGGGTAAAACTCCATCCAAATGGGATTGGCCCAGAGCAAGGCCCCAAAGCCTGCCACAAAGTCTAAAGCATCTTCCAGTGGGGACCCACAGAAAAGGGTCAGAAACAACCAGACAAGCCCGTAAGGAAAAGAGCAAAATCAAAATCAAGATAAAAGCTGCCATTGTCTCCTCCCCATGGGTCTCACCCACATCTGTCACCCCGTCCATGACCAAAAGACAATTGCAGTTTCTTCACGTGTCTCTAGGCTCCATACACCGCCTCCAAGTCTCCTGGCTCTCCATCCTGCTTCCTTCCTCAGTCTCCTCTGCAGCTTCTTCTCTCCCTGCTCAGCTCCACCCTCCCTTGGGTGGGGCAGGAAACCTGGAACCTCCCCCTTTCCTGGGGACCACCCTGTTACAATCATAGAACCTGAATACAAAGATGGCTGAGAAATGCCATCACTAGCTAAGCAGCTGATTTCAGTACAACTCTATACTATGGACAGAAATCATGAATCTTTGGTACCTTTTCTGACATAGCCATTCTTCTGTTTAATCTTGACTTTTCTCTTTCATACTATTGATTTTGCCTCAAAAGTTCAATGATTCTTGCTTGCCCATTCCTATTTTATCTATCAAATCTTATTTTATCTATCAAATCTGTCCTTTTTTTTCTTTGTAAGCAGCTGAGATCTATGCACAATAACATGTTAGTTTTAATTTACATTATACTTATAGCATTTAAATATTATTATCTACAAAATTATTTTATTTTATTTTATTATTTTTTTTTAATAGAGGCATGTTTTATTTATTTATTTATTTGTTTGTTTTGTTTATACATACACTGGGTACAGTCAGAAGTGCGGGAGGGTGAGAGAATTCACCAGAGCCAGAGCGGGGAGCAGAGCAGGCAGAAGGACTGAAGTACACTGCTGAGGGGAGCAGCAGGCGGCAGGAGAGGTCTGCGCGCCATGTGGGACCCTCCTCTGGTGGCTGGGGAGCAGCCGGGGATCGAACCGGCGTCGCCGAGGCTGCGGGCAGCTTCACAACCCAGCGCTCAACCGCTGAGCCACCGGGGAGGCCCTACAAAATTATTTTAGAGTTAAATTATATTTTGTTATAATTTTTAGACTACTGAAGTCAAAGTTAATTTTGAATATTTCCAGAGTATAACCTAAAAATATTATTTAATAAGACAATATTCTAGTATTTAGAACCTTAGGGCTTGTAGACTAGCATTTAGTTTTGACTATATGGTAATATATCTCAGGATATATGACAAGTAATAACACATGCAGGGCACTGATGAATGGCAGCTAGACAGCTGGCAAGAAAGTGAATAAGACCTACATTCCATAATCTGCACCTCAGTCCTCTTTGTTCTTTACTTTTTATGTATACACTATAACTTTTATAGTGGTTAAAAGATAGACTTCCCAAAAAAAGGCATCTCTGAGTGATAACAGTAGAAATTATAACCAAGAAAGTGATGATTTTTAGTCAATAGCAAAATACAGATAGATTACTGAACAGAATGGCTAGTACTTAAGGAATTATTAAGGTTGTGAAGAGGTTACTTAAAAAAATTTTTAATGATTTTTAAAAAATATTTATTTATTTATGATGACAAGAACTAGAGTACAGGCCAGAGGTGTGGGAGGTGAGAGGATTCACCAGAGACAGAGCGGGGAGCAGAACAGGCAGATAGACCAAAGTACGCTGCTGAGGGGAACAGTGCGCGAGTCAGGAGAAGTCTGCTGCGTCATGTGGGTAGCTCCCTTGCCAGGGATCAAACTCGTGCTGCAGAGGCTGCAAACAGCTTCACAGGACTGCACTCAATCCCTTGCACCACTAGGGAGGCCCCAGGTCACTTAACATTTGTAATTAGTCTCTGTGAAGTACTATGAGAAATGTTTGAGGATAAGAATGACAATAAATAATCCGTATATCTGGGCATATCTCTTTTGAACATGGGTTTATTGTAAATACATTTTAAAACAATTAAAATATATTGCATACATTTTAACTTAACATGGTAACAGTGAGGAGAGAATAATAGTTATATAATACATATAACAAAGACTTAAAATGAAATTATTTACTGTATTATAAAAGTAGTTTTATTGTCTTCACAAATAAATGGAATAATGTCCTTTAGCCAATCCTTCACATTACTGTATTTTCCCACAGAAATATTACTAGTCAAATCACAAAGGTAAACTCAAACAAATTTGCTAAGAAAGGAAATCTAATTGTAAAATTTACTAAGTTAGTGGTTGCTTGAGTTTTACAGCAGAAATCTTGAGTCATTTTGGCATATTCTTGCTTGTTACTTTAATACAAAGAGTTCCTTTCTAAATTAAGAGAAATGTTGATGGATTCCGTTTAATTAGAAGTATTTTTCTTCACTTTAAAAATTATTCTAAGCAAATGTCCAAAAATTTCCCATCACTAGTAATAGGGATATTACTTGCATTTATTATGGCAATCAAACATATTTTTGAGGAACTACTGAAGATTTTTTATGAGGTTGTTTCTTTTTTCTTAAAAAAAAAAAAAAAGGAATACATTCCTAAATGACATGCTGAGTGAGACAGGGAATTCTCATATTTGAATGATTTTAGAGATACAGAATGTGACACATAATAAGTAGCCATATATCAAAGGCATTTGACCTGACTTACTTAGGACATTCAATGCTAGATATTAATGATTGAAAAAACAGTATATTGAAATAAAAATATAGTCATTCCCTAACTTTTAAATTCTCCTCAAAATTTACATTAGCTAAAAATATGTATTATATCCATAATTATCTAAACTCAGATATACTTCGCTTTATACTGAGCCAGTACTCATGGATACTGCCCTCTTACAAAATGAATTACTTACTGCATTCAAAACATTGCCTTGTTGAAAAAAATATTAACCAAGATATTACCTTGGGATATTTATAATATTGTTGATTTCAATTTCCTTCTTTATGCTTAGCATTTTCCTATGTTTTTGCAACAAGTTATCATTTTACATAGTATTTGAAAAGAAGTTAAAAGAGAAACATACTTGTTCTCAGGGGGCTTATGATCTTTTTATTTTACATTTTCTATCTTCATTTGTAACATCTTATCATTTTTCCCTTGTCAAATTGCATTCATCATTTTTTTCAAAGTCAAAGTCAAAATATATTTCCAAAATAACTCTTGGCTATGAACATATATCTTCAAACTTTTTGTGTTATTTTGTGATATTGGAGCTTGTAAATGCTATAAAAAGAAAATCTGTTGCTCTGTATTATTTTTATATTGAATGTGTATGTTATGTTCTTCATTGAAACCAGTTCTGGAGTGAAACAACAATGAACTGAAACACTGAACATTCATTTGGGGTTGATGACCATGATTTTGAAAGATTCTCAAGCTACGTGGTTGTGTAATTTTCTCTATCTAACTTCAGTGCAGAAGTTAACCCATAAATACAAAGAACACATTAAAAGAATGTCATTATATTGCAATGATAGGGTACCAGACGAAGATGGCTCAGAGATTTCATATGCACTATAAAAACCTGCTTCTATAAAGTTTCAAGGTGAACAAAGACAAGATAAAGGTCACCTTTTATAGTTTAAGATACAAAAAAAATATAAGACGTGTGTTAGGAAAGGAGAAAACTTGATGGGCAAAATAGAATTAATAGAATGAGAAAATTAAATTAAATATAGATGCAGAGAGAAAATGTGAGGAATATATAAGTGAAGGAAGGAGAGTAGACTGTTATGCTACATTTTGGATTTAGCAGTTTTCTCATTAGAATGGCAGTGATCCCTACAGTGTATACTTGAGAAAGAAGTTTACACTGATGAACATGACATAGGGAGAATGGTCTCTCTTCTCATGAAACTGAGACAGTAAAAAGAATAAGACCATAAGAAAGGGAACTAGTAGAAAGATCACTGCTATTTCCAGGTAAAATATAACTGTGACCTCAATAACAGAAAAGTAAATCATGAGGGACAAGTGGAGCTGTGTAAATACTTCAGTGGTATTTCTGAAAGAAAGAGCTACCTTTATAAATTTGGCGGGAGAGGAAGGAAGAACCTTTGAAATTATGGGATCAAGAGGTACTTTCCGCATTCTGTTTATGTTTCTGTATTTCTAAGTATTGTCATCAAGAAGACAATAATAATTTTAGAAAATGAATGAAGTCTTCTATTCCAGTCTATGGTCAATCAAAAATGTGAGCTAAAACTTTTTAGAGCACAATAACTTCACCTTTGAAATTGCCATTCTACAATATTGTTTTTAAATGTTCATTTTCCTGTAATGTTTCTGATCATATTTATATAAGATTTAAAAATAGTCCTTAATATTTCAATTGAGTATTAACAGCCCTTCTAATATTAATCATTGCCTTTTAAAAATAAGCTATGTTTGAAGAATTATATTTAAGCCAAACATCTGTAGATCAAGTTTCAGCCTGAGGCAAATTATAACAGCTGAGTTATAAATTCCTAAGATCAGTGACTATAATAAAATATGAACATATTATATGCAGTGCCAGAAAATATTACAATAAAGCAATAAAAACATACCTTATATGATCAAAAGAAAGCTCATAGAAAAATAATTTTGGAATCTAATTCATTTTTAACATATTTTAAAATTGTAACTTTCTACCCCAGGGTCTCCTTTTCTTTATTTTAACAAATATAATGGTTACAGACCTTACTTTATCTTTTTCTGTTTCTTTAATAATAAAAATGAGGAATATCAGTCTTCTTAAGATTGACCAATAAATACACTAAAAAGGAGAGAAAGTTTGAAAAACTAACCATTGGGATTGAAGTAGTTAAGAGTAAAGAAACATTACGGGTCCCATAAATTCTCCTCTTTGGAAAAGTCCAGTAAGTATGGTCACAAGACTTCTCAGATCTGGGCCTCCCCTGGTGGCGCAGCGGTTGAGTGCTGGGGTGCGGGGCTGCCTGCAGCCTCTGCAGCACCAGTTCCATCCCCAGTCACCGGCGAGTGTCCCACAAAAAAAAAAAAAAAAAAAAGACTTCTCAGATCTATGGATGGATTGTGGAATTAATGTTTTACAATGTCTGGTTCATCTGAAGACCTACTGTTCAACAACATTGTCTAATAGAAGAAAATAAACACTTTTAATGAACAAGTTTATAGAAGTGGGGTATTCTGATTAACTAAAATTAAATAATATTCCATATATATATAAGTGAACAAATTTCAAAATGCTGCACTGTGAGGAAACATATTTAATTCATTCAAACAAGAATTACTAGATTTGAGTCAAGATTCTAGCTCTGCTGATGTCTATGTAACTTTGGGTAAATCACTCAATCTCTCAAGAGGGATGCAGAGCTCAAGTTTCTCATTTATAAAATGAGGTGGATGGATTTACTAGGCACTAAGGTGTCTTCTAGTATAAATTTGTTGTCTTCTATGAGAAATAGTAGAAGAATCTATTTCTGAACTCCCAAATCAACTTTTCCAATGGACTATTTCGTTTACCAATACCATCATTTTTCCTGTTGTCATGGACTCTCAGCTTCCTTTGTACTTCTTCCCTTATCCTTTCCCCAGCACTGGTAAATGAAAAGTTATAGAATCTACAACTTAGCAAGAAATAATATGTTAAAAGGGGAAACATGGAACCATATATTCCTTTATATAGGTAATAGGTTATAGGTAGATGCCTTGCACATATGTTTCATCCAACTCCATAAAATATTCTAAGCTGTTCGTGTGTGTTTCTGGACCCCTGACTTGGGTGATCAATGTCTCCAAAAGGAAAAGAGTAGCATAAGGGAATCAGATCTTCAGCCATCATGAATCACTGATCTTTTTCTTTGCATTCTCTGCACTATTTTTTGTTTTATTGGTTGTATCTGAGTTGCTGGCTTAATAATGAAGCAAAGTGTAAACAACTTTGACCAGGTTCCCTTTCTTACACCTGGACCAACCTTTTCTAATGGCCTCATAAAGGCCTGCCAATATTATATAATTCAAAATTTGACTTTTTAGTAAGTCTTGAAATTTTTATGTAGTTCAGTGAATTCCTTCATTGAGAAATAGATTAAAGCTATGATGGCTTAATATTGATAATGTCAGCTAAGCTTAGGTAACATTTATATGGGTTGTGCAATGTTCTATGTACTTTATACATAAGCCTCTTTAATTCTTACTACATGCAAGACAAGAATGCCCACTCTCCCCACAACTATTCAACAAAGTATTGGAAGTCCTCATCAGAGCAATTAGACAAGAGAAAGATATAAAAGGAATCTAAGGTGGAAAACAAGAAACAGAAGTATAATTATTTGTAGATGACATGATAATATACATAGAAAGCCATCAAGACTTCATGGAAAAAACGAATGAAACAATAAAACAATTCAAGTGGCAGGTTACAAAAGTGGCAGGTTACAAAATCAACATACAAAATCTGTTGCCTTCTGATACACAAATAATGTGAGGTAAACAAAGGAGGTAAAACATTTATACAAAGGAAACTGTAAGTCATTGTTAAAGGAACTATAAGACACAAAGAAAGAGAAATATATTCCCTGCTTATGGGCTGGAAGAATCAACAATGAAAATGGCCATTCTATCCAAAGCAATATGCAGATTCAATGCAAGCCCAATAAAAATATCAATGGCACTTTTTAGAGAATTGGAATAAATATTACTGAAATTCATATGGAATCTCAAACAACACCGAATACCCAAAGCAATCCTGACAAAAGAGAATGCAGGTATCACAGTTCCAGATTTCAAACCATATTGTAAAGCCATAATAATTAAAAGAGCCTGATACTAGAACAAAAACAGACACACCAATCAATAGAAAAGAACTGAGAAATATATACCAGAAATAAAATCACATCTACACAGTTAATCTGTGACAAAGAGGCCAAGAAACATACACTGGAACAAAGATAGCCTCTTCAATAAATGGTACTGAGAAAACTGGACAGCTACCTAGAAAAACCTGAAACTAGACCACCACTATCTTATACACAAAAACAACTAAAACTGGATAAAAGACTTGGATATAAGACCTGAAACCAAAAAATACAGAGAAAACAAAGGCAAAACACTTCATGACAAAAGCTTCAGTGATGTCTTTAGGGATTCATCCCCAAAAGCATGGAAAACAAAAGAGAACATAACTCTGGGACTACATGAAACTAAAAAGCTTTTGCATAGCAAAAGAAACTGCAACTAAAACAAAAAGATACCCCACTGAATGAGAAAATATTTGCATAGCATACAACTGACAAAGGACTGATATACAAGATCTACAAAGAACTCAGACAATTCCACAAAAAGAAAACAACCCAATCAAAAAACGGATACTTCTCTAAAGAAGACATACAAACTGTAAACAGGCACATGAAAAAATGTTCATCATCACTATCAACAGGGAAATGCAAATCAAGACCACAAGGAGACATCACTTCACACCTGTGAGAATAGCTCATATCAAAAAGAGCAGAAACAACAAACGATAGCGATGATGTAGAGAAAAGGGAGCTCTCCTACACTGCTGGTAGAAATGTAGACTGGTTCAGCCCCTATGGAGAGCAGTATGAAAGTGTCTCAGAACATTAAAAATGGATCTGCTAGATCTGCTTTATAACCTAGTAACTCAACTCCTAGACATCTACCCCCAAAATTCAAAACTACCAATTCAAAATGCTCATTTCAGCACTATTTACAATAGCCAAATTATGGAAACAACCTAAAAGCCCCAAAACAGATGAGTGCTACATAAAGAATTGGTATATACACACAATGGAATATTACTCAGTGATCAAAAAGATAAACCCTTGCTATTTGCAGCAACATTGATAGTGCTGGAAGAAATAATGCTAAGTGTAATAAGGCAGAGGAAGGATAAATATTGGATGGTGTTACTAACGTATGAAATATAGAGGAACCAAACTACAGGACAGAAAAAGACAAGCTTAAAAATTAACCCTTGAAAGCTGACTATAGAACTGAAGCATGACATGGGAGGGGGTAGGGAGAAAAAAAGGGAAAGAGGAGAGGAAAGAGAAGCAGGAAGGAATACACAATGGTGATGGACTATGAGTGATTGGGTGGTAGGGTACTATATTTGGCAATACCTGATGGGGGTATCCTAATATTACGTTAATTAAAATGAATGAATGAATAAATAAATTTAAAACAACAACAAAAATTCTTACCATAATCCTGTGAATAGGTAATACTATAATCTTCCACATCTTAAAGATGTGGAAAATGAGGCATAGAATGGCTCATGACTTGCCCAAGGTTACTTACACGGGGAAGCAGTAAGGCTGGAAGTCAAACAATTTCAAATGTTGTCCTTAATCACAATGCTATAAACTGCCTCTCTGTATAGGCTGGTACTTAAAAAAATTACTTTACCTCTTGTTTGTTGACTTGTTTATGTTCCTCCCACCCCTGACAGCTTTCTCTTGAATCATTATAAATTCCCTTCATTATGAAACCTATATAATTTCAAAGAATAATTTTGTTGTTTTAAGGCTAGATCTTCCCCTGTGATATTTCAGAGTTGTCAGAAATTTCTTTCTTTTAATGTTTTAGCCTCCCCCAAAGACAGACAACTCAAATATATTTCAGTTTGTTGATAAGCATTTTAAATACCTTCTACATTAAAATCTTATATTATGAAATAAAGAACTTGTTAGTCTATCCATTATTTTCTCAACTCTCATCCATATGTTGGTTTTCCTCACAGACTGGCTATGCTTTCTAATAATTGTGGAGGTTTTGCAATTATTACCTTGATTATATATAGATGTATATTATATGTATCAATCTACATCCAGTGAGCAAAACTTACATTAACTATATACTTTATACTACAACTATTAAAGTATCCTTTGATAAAATATAAAATACCTCATTGTAACTCCTCTTAGTAATTTATATATGTGTATGTATAAAGTAGAAATTGACAGGATCAGTGAGAATACACTATTGTAGCTTGACAAGCAAACAGAATTGTCATATGCTTTACTCATCAAATTTGACATTGCTTTACTTTCCAATGCACTTCACTTTCTTGAAAATATTTTCATTTTAATATTTCTGTATAATCTTCAATATGAAATTCTAGCTATCTCTTTAACACAACAGTGAAACCAAGACTATGTGAAAATAAATTTAATTTCAGCAATCTTTTATAATGTGGCCCTCACACATTTCACATGATTTAAAAGTCATAAAATTATTATATATTTTGAGGTTAGAACCAAATAATGTCACAAATCATGGGGTTAATGATTACCTAATGAATTTTCAAGTATAATAAAACCTTATTAATTTGGAGGATAGTATATCTGTTTTAGAAACTAAGTTATGGAGCAATTTTAAAGGGTAATTTGTATTATATATCAACTGGCAGTTATAACAAACATAACTTATGAAGTGTCAATTACATTTGTAAGAAATTAACTTTTAATAATTAGATATGAATATCTAAATCTACGAGGTTCTTTACATTTAAATGGATTCTTCTAAAATACTTAGGGTTCTTAAAGCATGTTCCTAGGAATTAAGAATTTCTCCTAAAAATGTTAGTAGTATTAATTAGTTGTAATGTAATGTGATACTATTCCAAATGTTGATACTATTAGTTAGCAACATTTATTTGATAAATCTATTGAAGTACCCATTTTATGGTGAGGGTTTTGTTACATCAATTCTCACCAACTACACATCATCAATATCCCTTTCAACTGATTACAAATATTCTCAAGTTTTTTCCTCTTTAGAAAGCAACAAAACCCTCCTTATGACACCTTCCTTCATAGGCCAGCACCTCTGCAGTTAATCTTACATTCCTATCACCGTTCACTTTTCAACCCACAGCAATCTGGTTTTTGCTTCAATCCTTACACTGAAACTGACAAAATATTTTTCAATCCCTCTGCAATATTTGGAACTGACAGTTACT